GGGGAGAGAGACAGGATTAAGGCTTACTCTGAAAAACTTGGCTTCTATTATACTATTTTAGATGCGGGTTTTTGCGTTTTTGATTGCATTTTAATAGGATACGTCAACAGAATGTACACTATAAAGGGATTTTTCGAGAAATTTTCCCCCACTGGGGAAGTGTTATATATTTATAATAGATACATTTTGAGCCACAACAAGGCGTGGCGGGGTCTGCTAGTTAATTATAATTTAAATATAATACAATTAATTTAAATAAATTATATTACAATATAAAAGGCCATTTCCCTCTGTCGAATAAACTTAAAAGCACATGGATCTAATCTAGTTTGAGAGTAGAATTAAATAGTTATTGTGTTGTGAATTTTCTCTTTACATATTTAGGGAGGGATTGGATAAATATGTGGACGTGCGAAGATTCGTCAGTCCACACAATTTAGATTATTTTAAATTTCGAAAAAGCAAGATTAAGAAAGGCCTGTTAAAGCAGTTCGAACCCTCGACCGGTGCTTTCGAAGGTTTGGACATTTTTGAAAATAACATCAAGCCTGCTTATAAACAAGTTTTGATGAAGGTTCGACCAATCTGTCAGACGGCCTGCCAGCGTTTTAACAGGTAAATTATAATAAACTTGTGTATATTATATGTATGAGCTGTTTAACGAGGGGGTTATTCTGAGAAATACGAGGAATCATCGTCTTAATTTTTCAATAAATAGTAATAAGTTTAATAACGCGACTCTCCAAGCGTTAGTTTCTTACCCTCGTGGGAAATTACAGAAAATGTTTTTCAATTGTTACCATTCTTAAATATTCATCGTAATTCAATTTGAAAATTATATATTTATTGTATTGCGAATTCTTTCTTTCCTTGTTTAGTGAGAGATTGGTCGAAGATGTGGAGGATGAAGGAGTAAACAATAGAGAGAGTGCGGTTCCTCCACGAAACACCAAAGCAAACGAAGACCCGGCAGAGCACGAAGATTGCGTGCAAGATAATCCTGGCCATTACAGCACCCGTGAATATCGGGATAGAAATACATTGACGAAAGTCGGGTCATTCTTTAAGAGCATATGGAAACCCGTTAAGAGGTAAGATTTTGTACGCGCGAACAAATTAGCAATAAATTCGAATATGGCGCTAAGCCCAAGTATCGATTACACCAAAAATTTTCATAGATATAGCGCAGCAATATGTTTTAATGGAATTCAAATCGAGTTATACGTTTTCGACGAATAATTATACTTCTTTTTCTACATTTAGATCCGTGCAGAAGGTGTGTAAAATGGCAAAAAGTGGTGAATGCGAGTACGTTCGGTTCGAGTAAGGATCTCTTTGCTTCCATCTATCCATCGGGAATAAGATCTGCTCTATGATTTGCTATAAATTATTTGCTGGATTTGGGCCTAGTTGTCTAATTGTAAGTGTCTATGGCAACTTTATTGTATTCTACACCAAACACTTGGGAGATTTTACGGTCTCAGTTTATAAATTGACACAATTTCTGATCACGATTTCATAATAACCCGCAATTAATGGCCGGACAACAGAAAAACTAGAAATATTTATTAACTGTATTAGCGTGGAAATGTATTATATTTTGATGCGATTGAGATCGTACCTACAGAAAATCCACGTTTTTAGGGTATCGGGCATACATAGCCTGTATATTCTTGTCCAAGTACTCACAATAATACAATCTGGAACACAGCGAAAGCAATAGTATAAATGAATGTAGAAATTAAATTATATAGTAATCTTATGAGATTACGAGGACGGGAACATCCTAAAATAATAGAATTAACAATGACATAAGTTATTTGATGCATACATGACACGTGGCAGTATGCAATTAATTGCCGTAAGCAAAACATTTTTGCTTTGTTATTTATTTCCTTTATTCGTATTTATTTGTTTTTAATTGTATTTTCCCTTAATTTCTTTGTATATAATCGCATTTATTCTTAATTTTGTTTTCATTTAATATTTATTTCTTTACTTCGATTGTTGTACAGTACATGTACAGGTATTCTGTACATAGTTCTTTTCGTTTTATTTCTTTATTCGTATTTATTTGTTTTTAATTGTATTTTCCTTTAATTTCTTTGTATATAATCGCATTTATTCTTAATTTTGTTTTCATTTAATATTTATTTGTTTTCGTTGTTTGTTGTATATTTAAAAATATTCAAAAAATAACAAAAAGAAATTGTAAAGTTTAAAACTTCATAAATAAAATCTAAAAATCTCCTAAAAAGTATTACAAAAATAATTTTCAATTTATAAGTAAAAATTAAAATATTGGTTCTTCATTCACTTTTAGATATGGTTTTTTTCTGAAAATCATTGATGACTCGAATTCTACTCCTAATTTTCACATCCCGATTGCGTCAATGCCAATTTCGATTATAACTTCCTAATTTTGACTTTGTCCTGGCTGTGTCTCATTATTATCTTTTACTGAATTAGCATTCTTTCAAATTGGTATAAACGAATTTGGACGTTCCCGAATTACGTCTACCCCGAATTTGACTACTGAATTATGTCTTCACTCGAATTTGGACTCTTCCGGCTTGTGTCTGTACTCAAATTTGACTCTTAATTTGTGTCATCCCTGGAACTTGGACTCTCCGGAATGAACGACACGCCCAACAAATTGATACTGTATTTGTGATTCAGACATTAGTAAAAAGGATTAATGTAAAAACAAATTTTTATACATAAAATATTTGATAAATCAATTGATTATTAATGTGTATATATATATATATATATATATATATATATATATAT